GTTTCTACTAAAACAGCCTCATGGGTTGAGCCATCATGGTTTCTCTTTGGCAGCCATGTTGAAAGGAAACTGGGCCGTCTCCAACCTCAGAGGTCCAGTTGCCTTCAGGCGCTGGACTTTAGTCAGGAAACATGAGAGTGAAGCAGCCTGGGTTGTTAGCTTTAGCATCTTTATTTCCATGTGGTTGCATAGGAAACGCACATTTTGCTTCCAGTAAGTTGAGTCTGAGCGGACATGGCGGCGGTGATGGACCAAAGGTCAACAGAAGCAACGGACAGACAGAACGACCCGGTAGAATAGAACCGGCCAAATGAAACACTGGACATCAGGTGACATCAGGTGACACCAGGTCGGCTCTAAGCGCCGCCTTGCTGTTGAGGCACAAGGTATCAGTCCGTTTCAGGTGAGGATGCAGGAAAGAGCTGGTTTCCATGGTGCTTCAGGCAGTGAGCAGGGAATGATGGGAAACGGTGGAGTTCTGCCTCTCCAGCTTCGCTTAGGGGATTATAAAGCTCGCCTTCCTAAAGATTGTCGTTAGCGACGCGTAGCGCCACCTCCAGGGCACACGGACAAAGGCAACAAGACGATTCCTTAAGGCTGATAATTTCACTGGTGATCGGTTCAAACAGTTAAAAACATCAACAGGAGGGCAGTTTGGCAAGACTGTAAAAACAAAACCCTGGATTGATGCTAATGTTTCTATTCTATTCTATTCTAGTCTCATAAAGGGCAATGCCAATGCTCTGCTGGCCAGCCATGTTTTGTTCCACTTCTATCCATTTTTGACCTATAAACCTTAAAACTTGCTTGAGTTCTCCAGTTAGCCTTCTGAACAGCAGCAGTGAGTTGGAAGTCGAAATGGTTGCTAACTCCCACTAATATCGTCACTAGTACTTGTTCCAAAGCTAATGCTAATGTTAATACAAAATTGTCTTATCTTCTGGTAGACTGCTAACACTAAAAATTAACATAACAGTAGCAATTTAACCTTATTATTATGAATGTTTGTTATGGTGGACCCCATCTATTTGTAGATTCATGGAAAATTTACATTTTTGCATATTTTTTTCACAGACCATATCTAGAATATTTGAAAGAAAATGCATCTTGGGCAGCTGAAGTACCCGATGCAATGCTTCTTGACACACAACTAGCTGGTGTTTGCAAGCAGACAATCCAGGAGAACCATTTATTTTCTTTGGCACTGACTGAACCCTCAAAAGCAGAAATAATGACTGTTTGTTATGTTCTGAAGAAGTGCTATGACACCACTAGTGCAAACTAAGGTAAATTTAGCTTTTGATATTTAAAGCAGTCAGTTAAAAGAGTTTTGAGGGGGTCTCAACTGTTTATGGATTTTAACTTTTGACAAGCAGCTGCGGACCCCAACTCCCAGAAATCGCAGGGGTTCATGGAAAGCTTACTTATCCTTTCTACTACCACTTATCACAACTAATTAGCATGCTACTAATGTCCACAGCTAGTTACTGGAATTTTCTTCAGTATTAGCATGGTAAAGTTAAAAGCCAGCTGGGGGTTTTTAGTGTTAGCATGGTACTCCTAGCATCCAACCAATTATTGTGATTTTTACTGTCTTACACTGATTACTCCAGCTAATTATTGTGATGTTGTGTTTGTGTTACTAATTTCTACTTTTATGTCAATTTATGTAATATTTGCTAGTAACATGTGAGCATGTAGCTAATGTTCACACTAACTATGTGATATAATGTAATTGTATGTTTAGTGCAGCTAATGATTTTGGTTTTCTTCAGTGCTAGTGCTAACACTATTGTCCCCATCTAATTAACACATGCTTAGGAATTGGTATTAACCACTACCAATAGTTTTAGCAACATTATTGTTATCATGCTGATACTTCCACGCCTAATTATTTGATGACTTCATTTGAACAGTTACTTATTGTAATTTTATTTGTTAGTCATCTGCTACCACTTTTCTCTATGGTAAATTAATGTAGTTTTAGTTAGTGTTACTAATCTCTGCTGCTAACTAAGTCTATATACTAATCGCTGTGTTAACATGCTGCTAAAGTCCACACTATTTATTTTAATTTTATTTATTTTTAACATGCTAATGCTTAATTTCACAATTAACGTAGCTTGTTTTATTTATTACTGGTGCTAAGACTAATGTCCACAGTTTTTTTAAAGGATTTCTAATGAATGCTATTAATTACTTCTAATCCTTCCAACTAATATCAGCTATGTAGAAATCCCAAATGTTAGCATTTTGGTAATGTATAGTATATTATTACTTATTGTTAGCAGACTAATTTGTTGTCATTTGTGTGACTAAACCAATGGTAACATACTCAACTAATTGTTATGGTTTAATTCATTGTTAGCCAGTTAGGGCTAATCTCCACAGCTAAATTATCCAATTTTTGAACATGTATTTACTATTACTGGTCTATTGCTAAAATCTAATGCTAAAATCTGAAACTAATTTCTCAGAACCCCACTAAGTATCAAGAGTTTAAGACATTAAGGAAGTTTAATCACATATTTGATGTGAATGGTAGCATATGGCTAATTTCCACAGTTATTAGGTTTTATTTAGCAGGCTCATGCTAATGCTTGTGTCCAATAATTTAGATAGCCTTGCTAATTTCTTATTAATATGCACAAGTCACTATGTTATCGATGTACTGACGTCGCAATTCACAAGCTCAGCATGATTTCCCGTCCTACAGTGGATGTTAACATTTCATGCAGAAAAATACCTTCTGGGAGACAAATTTAACTATTCAGATTTAGAAAAAAGGTTTTAAAAAAAGTTTCCGAAGAAAATTTCTGCCTAAGTTTTTACATGTGGAAAGCCACTAAATCATTTCTACTGAAGACTTTATGAGCTAAAGTCTTCAGTATGTTTACCACACATGAAGATGGTATATTTATCCATATTTTACAAGCAAAATACTTGACATTGACAATTCCAATGTCATCTTAAAGTATGAGATTAGTGAACGTCAGACTTTGGTAAATTCTGAAAGTATAACTCTGTCACCACGCTTTGCTTTACAACCATAAAAACTTCTGATGTATTTAATGACATTTTTCAGTGATAAGAAATGGAATAACTGTACATTTCCCTCTGAGTAACTGATATGTTATCAGTTCGATCCTGGAGTGTGTTACCTCCTCTTTCTCCGGTCTAAGCCAGAGAGGATGGGGAGCGACCCATGGAAACAAATGTGGCTATGACACGGCAGTTTAGACAAATATTTGTAATTGTATGTCAATAAGACATCTTGAAGTCTGACTGTCGGCCATCTAATGCTCCTTCCTTAAATCTCAAGCACTTTGAAGGAATGTTTGATAGATGTTTGGTTTCTGTAAATGAATCTGTGTCCTCTGAAGAAGACAGAAACAGACAGCTTGCAGATTCAATGGCATTGCCCTTTAAGAAAACAGTCTGGTCATCAACAAAGTTTTCTTCCTGAAAGAGATGCACAAGTCGAAGAAACTGTTGAGTTTCAAAGATGTGAGCAGCATCGACAGGCTGCAGGAGCCACTGGAGGTGAGCTAGACGAGCCAATCGACCCCAGCTGGTCCGGGCTGGGGGGACAAGGCGGAGGCTCCCAGGTACCGCAGCCGCCTTCTCTTTAAACCGCTCTGATCCTGGAAGAGCAGCAACTTGTTTAAAGTCCTGCCGGGGGCAGGGGGTGGAGGGGAGGTGCAGTGGAGGAGTCTGGGGGAGTCAGGCTAGATAATGCTGAGCACTGCAGAAAAATGCAGAAGCCATCGATTGGTTCTCCTGCAGAAAACAGCCTGGGGAGGAGGTAGGGGGTAGGGTGTGGGGCTGTTGGTCAATGCATGCTGGAGTGCGTGTGTGTGGACCCCAAAACGCAGTAAGTTACCTTCAGGCCTCATGTGGGAGATAAACAAGAATGTGTGTATGTGAATATATATATATATATATATGTGTGTGTGTGTGTGTGTGTGTGTGTGTGTGTGTGTGTGTGTGTGTGTGTGTGTGTGTGTGTGTGAGAGAGAGAGGGGGACCAGCTGGGTGTTTGCTGATGCTAACAGTGATCTGGAGATTGTCTGATTTTACAGTGCGAGTCTCATCCTGATGGCGTCCCATCATGGCAGGGCCCGTCCTGCAGTGGATGCCCGTCAGACATGATGAAGAGGAGGGTGAAGATGAACAGGAAGCTTGTTGGTTTTCCTACTTGCTGACTTGCTAGGCGCTATGGCGGAGCATGCAGGTTACATCAGGTGATTATTGGTGATTATTGAACATCAGCTAGTCAGAAGGCTACTGGTGTTCCAGAGATATAAACAGGGTCAGGAGAATACAGCTTCACAGGCACTACATTTCATATCTTCATATATGGTGGAGTATGCTGGTTCCTGGGTTCGCTCCACGGCGCCCCCTCTGGAGGAACGTGAAGGCTGTTAGTCAGTGCATAGTTCTCATGCAGATTAGACTGCTGCGCCATGATTGGCTGTGGAGAAGCAAGGTGGAGGTACGGTCTAGTCCTCCCTTAGTGATCTGTTCAGAAACACCCCGACCTCTGACCCCCGCTTGCCCAGCAGCAGCTAGAGAGGGGGCTCCTCTTCCTGGGACATGTTGGGGTAAAAACTGCCCCTCCGTTTCCTGACGGGGCAGCAGAGCTCCTCTGGGGGAGTGAGGTTTGGATCGGTTCTGGTTCCAGCTCTGGATCGCCTGTGATCGGACCTGCTGCCCGGACCTGCTGCCCGGTTCATCAGAACTGACCCAGTTTATTCTGCACGTCCAGACCAAAGCACCATCTCTGGGTTGCTGGTCGGGTTTTTGTTTCATTTGATGCAGAAAGAGAAGTATTTATCCGTTAATGGAGACATTAAAGAGAAGATTTACTGATCATTAGAATAATTGATTCCTGGGAGGAATCGGAGCAGGAGGTCCGATCTCAGCGTCCCGTCGCTTTGCAGCGATGGAGGCGTATAGGAGGAGGAGGTGGAGAAAGAAACAGATGGGAAAGAAAAAAATCATGGTGCATAATCAAGCTGTTTATTGTTCTGCATGGAATGGTGAACAGAAAAAAAGATGCCTGGATGCATTTCTTGTCGGGCATCGTTTGGCCGGCTATGTCTCCTGCCTAACAACTAAATTCCTTCAAACGCAGAAAAATGTTGTTTTCCCTCAAAAGGACTAAATTCAGCTTCATCAACACTGAACATACAGAAACTGTAACATCCATTTACAATGGGGTTAGGGCTCACCCTGGGCTGCAGAAGAGTGTCAACATATGAAATGTTCATAAATACATAAAAAGGAAACCCAAGAAAAAAGACGGAAACTGGAAAGTTTTCAACTTACATCCAGTTTCCAGGAAAAAAACAAATCTCTGTAGAAAGTCAGAAAAATCACAACACCACAGTTTCCTCACTTAGTCGTTGTTAAAAAAGTCCTGCATTAGAAAATAGGGCAGCTTTAAAATCAATAAACTATACAGCACTCAGTCAGGCCTCCAGCCAGTAGGAGGCGCTCCCTCTGCCTTCACTACAGAACCAACTCAATGAACAAACAGCTAACAAACTCGCTGCCCACGTCACTGCTCTCTCGTTGTAGTTTCCGTGAAAACGTCTAACGCTCAGCCAGTCGGATTCAAACCAACTGATCAGATTTAATGACACTTTAAAAAATGTCCGTGCAATTTTCTAATTTCATTCCCTTCAATTGATTCGACCCGGACGCTGCTTTTCTTTATTCATCATCTCATATTTAGTGCAGGTAGTTAATGCCCAACTCACAGCCAAAGGGAAGGCAGGAACAGAACCTCGGACCCGACAGAACCGGACAGATCCGTTTCACAGAACCGTCCGCACTCTGACGGACAACAGCTTGGATTTGTTTAAGGTCGGGTTCATGAGACACACAGCGGCCCCGGAGGGCCCGGCTTCTGGCTGAAGAAAGGAAAACTAACCAGAAAAAGACGACTCAGAGTGCAAGCAGATATTGCATAATTTACATCCGATACTCGGATCTGGGAACAATCAGGGAGACAAACGGGAAGACGTGAAACCTTTTTACAGCAACAGACGGAGAAGATCTGGAAGCTGGAATCTGAAGGTCCGGATTCAGTCAAATGAGCAGCAAACAGCAGCGCCGGAAGCTGTTTCTGCTGCTCTGCCCCCTACTGGAGCCCTGTGGTAACAACAGGGAGACTCGGGAGTTCTAAAGCTGACCTGCAGGTGGAGTTGGATGTTCTGGTTCTGTCTCTGCTCCAAAGCCAGAACATCCAGCGACCAATCAGAATGCGGTTCGTCATTCCATTTATTCTCATCTGAACCAACAAGCTGCTCCGCCCACAAGCTAACAACCCCTTAGTGCCTGAATGTCCGGGTGCACAAAAACTTAGACATCATAAGTTTATGAAATATGAACATTTCAGTCACCATTAGTGTAAATTTAGCTGTGATGCTAATTAGCAACACCAGGCAGTTAAGGAATGAAACAAATTGTTCAGTCTTGCTACAGTGATAATTTCAGAGGATGTTTTTGCTCAAAAATGTTGAAATTGAGTCAAATTTTTCTTTTTGAACAACCACTGGTTTTTCATGATCATAGTGTTTTAAATACTGTAAAATTCCTTCACAGCAGTCCCATGAAATCAGTTTTACAAACTGTTTTTCAGCAACCATGTGTTTTCATCCTGCAGTGTTCCAAATAGCGCTAACTACTGAAAAATGTCTTTACGATAATGTCCTAAAAGTTTTTGTTCCCTAAATCCAGATAAAACAGATATATAAGGTTATATATTTGTGAAAATTATTTATTAATATTCATATGTAATAAAGGTTCTATTTACCTTTTTTTCGTTACAAATACATCTAAATTTTATATATCGGTTCATTTTCATTCATTAGTTGCCGAGTGTCACTAAAAAACTTCAAACACAAATTAGAAATACATTTTAGAATTTTAATCGTGTGGCCTGTTTTAATATATCATGTACAGAAAACATTAGTTTAGTTAGTCTAAAAATATATTTTTATTGCACAACCTAGCTGAGGATTCAGATTATTAACAGTTTATCGGCCTATTGCACAATTGCGCTTCCATGAACCACATGTAATTCAGCCTCCAACCACTGGGTGGTATCAGAGCCCATCTAAAATCAAGCTTAATATGAGAGGAATAAGTATCAACCAACATTTGGCTATATATACAACAAGACAGGCATGAAGCTAGTAAGCTTCACTCATTCATCAGGGGGTAAAAATGTTTTAATTGATAATTGATGTAGGTTATTATTCTAATAAAAATAAAGCAGATTTTTTTATGTCTCTTAGAGATATGTTTATTTTATAGAAAGAGCTTTGGTAGGGTTGGGGTAGGGTCAGAAACAAATTAGAGGCAAGCCTGCCAGGGGTATGAATAAATGGCTGTATGAATGAATGGCTGTAGAGCAGCTTGTGGTTTGGATCTGGAGCTGCTTGATGGAAAACGTCCAGCGAATGTTTCCATATGCAGCCATCAGAAGATTCAGCCTCAAACAAGGAGGAGACCTTCTGAACTTTCCACTAACCGCCTCCAAAACGAGTTCTTCACAACTTCCTCTTCATAAAACCAAAGTGAATCAGCCTACAGCGCCATCTGCAGGCCATGCCACCTTGATGCTGGTTTGACCACAGGTTGGACATGCTGCTAGTGTTTGTGGCGCAGAGATCAGCATCGGCTAATTTAGATACAGGACAGACAAAGGAACGTTTCGGATTTGAAGAACGGACCGGTTCTGTTGCTGCCAGGAAAACATGAGAGGAAAAGAACCGAGAACTGTAAGGAAGTGAAGAACCGACAGGAAGTCGGTTCTTCCTGTTGGGAAGTTTTACAGGATATCGTCCGTTTATCACTAACTACGTCATCTATGGAGAAAACGGCCACAAACACATGCAAAAAAAAATTACTTATTTTTTATAACTTTTTCACTTAAACTCATGTTAATGTCGGGGGTGTGCGTGCGTGCGCGTGTGTCTATAGACATTTATAGAATAAGAAAGAAAAACCAAACTAAAGAAGAGTTAAAGTCTTCATAAATAAACCACGCCCCCTGATGACGCACTCGCAGCCTATTGCCCAGCTGGAGGAAGAAGTGCTTGTGATTGGAAGGAGCCTCTGGAAAACCCAGCCAATCACATGGGAGCCCGTTGCCAGGCAGATTATCTTGCCAAACTGATTTGTTTCAAGCTTAAATTGTGATTTGGCCTCCGGAGACATTTTGTTTCCCTGACGCAGAATACATTTTAAATAAAAGAATTATTCGTTTCTATTTGAGCTGAATGAACATCAGTCCTTTGCTCAGAAACTGACCTCCGATTCAAACGTTCTCATACCAAACTACCAGATTATCAAAGAACGACGCGGTTTGGTGGTTTCTCACTGGCTTGGTGTTCCCCAAGGCTGCGTGTCGGTTTGTCGCCCAGCGTTTTAGAGTCCCAGGTCTGAGCGGACTACAAAAAAAATATACATTTAGATATATTTAATAAACCAACTAGTCAATAAAATTGCACTTTTCCTCATGATTTCACTGTTAAGTTTGAGAGGCGGGGCTCTCCCCTGACTGGCGGTGTGGCTTCGGACCCCCGGGGGTTCGGCCCGCCCTGCGTACGCTGCCTCTTCACCTGGACAGGTGGATGGATGGAAGGAGAGAATGGAGGCTAAAAGAGAGAAACCGATGAGCCATGAAGCCTCCAGAGAAACGAGTGGCTGGTGAAGCGTAGCAGCGAATCCAGACCACCTTCAGGACGTCCCACCCAGAGCCCCCACGGTTTGTCCATGCTGCTCTGCCCCCGGCTCAGCTCCTCCCTTCATTCTACTGTCTAAGTCCTGAAGAGAGCTAGGGAAGGAGGCAGCGTCCGTCCCAAGTTTGTTTCAGCTGGTGTTCTGAGCCAGGCTGCTCCTGCCTAACCCACCAGCCCCCGGCTGCAGGGATCCACTAAGGAGGAAGGGGTGGTGGCAGCTTGGAGGGCTTCAAACCACTGCAAGTTCACACGGCACAAAGTGATGGATAGGTAGGTCCTCCACAGAGGAATATCTGGGACTCAGTCTGACGACGTTCCCAGAACAGATCGCTTCCCCCATTGCTCCATTGGTCAGGGATTCAAGGAAAAAGGTTCAGGACTCAGATCCAGCACTACAGATATACGATCCAAGAGTCTGCAAGGAATTCTGGGACAAACGATTCGCTGCGTGGGAGCTCTTAATCTGCTTTAGCCATGCCGATGCTGAGTCATTGACGGTGGAGCCAGGATCTGCAGGACCAGTGACGGGGTTGACCAGGGACAGCTGGTGTTGGAGGACAGGCTGCAGCGGCTGGCCGTAGAGGGCGTCTGCGCCTCCGGAGTCCTTATCCCAGGTACCACTGTGGAGACAGACACAGGGGTCAACATCAGGGTTCCTCCAGGCCTCACCATCTCACATTTCAGACTTCCTAAGACCATTAGCAATAAAATGTAAGGCCTGTATTACAACACAAATCTACAAGAGAAAATTACACACATATATGAAGACATTGCATTCCTTGTGAAATAAACTATAGATCTGGTCACATTCTTACTTTAGTTGAAGACATTAATTATTGTTCCTTTTAATCTCTTTGCCTATTTGTCAACATTGTTGGGTCTCCATTTTCACAAGGCTCTGCTCCTTTTCCTGAGCTGTATTTCCCTCCACAGTAACATCTTTGGTTGGACTTGTTTCTCTTGAAAGCTGGACTGTACCAAGGTCACCTTGTGTTACTGATTCTGCCCTTTACCCAGTGCTTCTGGCCAAGGTGTTGATCCCTTTTGGGTGTGTTGGGTGTCAGATAATGTGGTCTGACTGACTTCATCAGGCAGTGATCTGCAGCTCCCACCGAATCAGTTCACCGCCAACATGAGGATCAGCGCCTCCAAATCTGAAGGTCCAGAAAAGGGACGAGTGCCTTCTCTGGGTCAGGGCAGTTAAGGAGCTCCAGACATCACAAGCATTTTCACAAATGATGATAACACATGGTGAGGTGATCCAGCAGGAGGAGGCCCAGAGAAAGACCAGGGCAAGCTGGGAGGAAGATGATGGATGGATAACTGGACCACTGCTAAAATCCACTGAACCACTGCCTTCAGAGTTTGTGTCACACCAAAAGCTGCTCTCAGACCAGTGGCAGCAGATGCGGCGACTGTTTCCTGGGAGCCTTCAGCATCACCAGGGGAGCTAAACTGTGACCTCTCTCAGGTGTGTTCGCAGCTTTGAGCGTCTCACTGCATGTGGCTCAACAACCTAAAGTCCTGTGAAGACGAGGCTTGAACAAAATGCTCCTAGCATCTTATGTCGGACAGGCAAATAGCAATAAATTTGGATCAAATACAGCTACCTTGTCTCTAGCTACCCTTGCTAGCAAAAGACACTAGCTAACAAGGGTGTGTTAGCTAGTGTCTACATTTGTGGCTACGGCTAGTTAGCGGTATCCACAACTGCCTCAAGAATGCAATGAAGATGTCTGTTAATGACGGAAATTAAAAAGTCCGGTGAGAAAAAATGTTTTTTCTCATGATTTTAAGGCCAACTTAAATTTTTTAAATTGATTTAAGACATTTTAAGGCCTTATTTTTAGCATCTCAGCAGACCTTGGGACAAGCAGCTAAAAGTCCGAAGAAGAACATCTGAAGAACTTCTGATCCAACATAGGGGGCGCCAAACCCTGGATGGACCATGGGAGGGTTTAGACCACCAGACCCATTCCTCTGTGTGTGTGTGTGTGTGTCTGTGTGTGTGTGTGTGTGTGTCTGTGTGTGTGTGTGTGTGTGTGTGTGTGTGTGTGTGTGTGTGTGTGTTGTCTCTGACTGGCCGGCATCGATCGCCAAATGTTCATGTTTCACCAATCTCCCCCTCATCATCCTCACTGCCTGGCCAAGTTCAAGTTCATCCTCGTCTTACATCATGTCTGGTTGCTAGGGACGACCAGACGGCCTGGGACGTGACTGCCATCGCCAAGGACCCCCCTGTAGACCTCCCCCACTTCACTACCCGTCCCATCTCATCATCCTCACTCCTCTTTCTCAGCATTCCTCTCTGGATCACTTTCTGCTCTTCATCCTGGCATGTACTTCATACACACACACACACACACACACACACACACACACACACACACACACACACACACATCTGGAGACAGACGCAGAGTTTAGGAAGCGCGTTGAAAAGAACAGGAAGTTTAATAAAACGGAGGCGGATCGCTCCTCTGCATTTCCTCTCTGTTTCCTCTCCGTTTCCTCTCTGTTTCCTCTGCGTTTCCTCTCTGTTTCCTCTCCGTTTCCTCTCTGTTTCCTCTGCGTTTCCTCTCTGTTTCCTCTGCGTTTCCTCTCTGTTTCCTCTCCGTTTCCTCTCTGTTTCCTCTCCGTTTCCTCTCCGTTTCCTCTCTGTTTCCTCTCCGTTTCCTCTCTGTTTCCTCTGCGTTTCCTCTCTGTTTCCTCTGCGTTTCCTCTCTGTTTCCTCTGCGTTTCCTCTCTGTTTCCTCTGCGTTTCCTCTCTGTTTCCTCTGCGTTTCCTCTCTGTTTCCTCTGCGTTTCCTCTCTGTTTCCTCTGCGTTTCCTCTGTGTTTCCTCTGTGTTTCCTCTCTGTTTCCTCTGCGTTTCCTCTCTGTTTCCTCTCCGTTTCCTCTCTGTTTCCTCTCTGTTTCCTCTCCGTTTCCTCTCTGTTTTCTGTCTGTTTCCTCTGCGTTTCCTCTCTGTTTCCTCTGCGTTTCCTCTCTGTTTCCTCTGCGTTTCCTCTCTGTTTCCTCTGCGTTTCCTCTCCGTTTCCTCTGCGTTTCCTCTCTGTTTCCTCTGCGTTTCCTCTGCGTTTCCTCTCTGTTTCCTCTGCGTTTCCTCTCTGTTTCCTCTGCGTTTCCTCTCCGTTTCCTCTCTGTTTCCTCTGCGTTTCCTCTCTGTTTCCTCTCCGTTTCCTCTCTGTTTTCTGTCTGTTTCCTCTGCGTTTCCTCTCTGTTTCCTCTGCGTTTCCTCTCCGTTTCCTCTCTGTTTTCTGTCTGTTTCCTCTGCGTTTCCTCTCTGTTTCCTCTGCGTTTCCTCTCTGTTTCCTCTCTGTTTCCCCTGCGTTTCTCCTCTCTGTTTCCTCTGCGTTTCCTCTGCGTTTCCTCTCTGTTTCCTCTGCGTTTCCTCTCTGTTTCCTCTGCGTTTCCTCTCCGTTTCCTCTCTGTTTCCTCTCTGTTTCCTCTCTGTTTTCTGTCTGTTTCCTCTGCGTTTCCTCTCCGTTTCCTCTCTGTTTTCTGTCTGTTTCCTCTGCGTTTCCTCTCTGTTTCCTCTGCGTTTCCTCTCTGTTTCCTCTGCGTTTCCTCTCTGTTTCCTCTCTGTTTCCCCTGCGTTTCTCCTCTCTGTTTCCTCTGCGTTTCCTCTCCGTTTCCTCTGCGTTTCCTCTCTGTTTCCTCTGCGTTTCCTCTCTGTTTCCTCTCCGTTTCCTCTCTGTTTTCTGTCTGTTTCCTCTGCGTTTCCTCTCCGTTTCCTCTCTGTTTTCTGTCTGTTTCCTCTGTGTTTCCTCTCTGTTTCCTCTCCGTTTCCTCTCTGTTTTCTGTCTGTTTCCTCTGCGTTTCCTCTCTGTTTCCTCTCCGTTTCCTCTCTGTTTTCTGTCTGTTTCCTCTGCGTTTCCTCTCTGTTTCCTCTGCGTTTCCTCTCTGTTTCCTCTCTGTTTCCCCTGCGTTTCTCCTCTCTGTTTCCTCTCCAGTGTGTTGCCACGCGGCCCTCTCTCCTGACTCGTTGTAATTCTGCTGTGCGCGCAGTGATAGAGGAGAAGACTGGAAGGTTAGTTTTTAATCAATACAACTTGCTGACACTGGGACTTTTCTGGCCCGCTCTCTCTCTCTCCCGATGTGTGTTGGTGTCTCTCGCCCCCCGCAACAGTAGCCCCCCACCGAGAAGACTGAAGATGAAACTCACCGTCCAGACCGGACCGGACCGGACCGGACCGGACAGCACGCCTCAGACTGCAGGCGCTGGGGGACATAGTGTCTCCTCCTGGAGGTCCCTGGCCCCCGGCACCGAGTCTCTCAGACCATCTGCAGGTCCAACTTCTGCTTGCAGAAGTTGGACCTGTTTGGACCGGGTTCTGGACCCTAATCCGGTCCAGAACTTTCTCTGCTCCTGATCTGAACTGGGCTGGAGTCAGGTTTAAATACAGACCAAGTGTGGACTGGAAGTGAGGAGGGAAACACCTGGATGGGGTCAGAGAGAGCCTGGAACAGAGACCAGATCCTATCCGGTCTGGACCTGGATTGGGCCGTCTCTTCTCAGTGTAGGATAATCTTCTCCTGGGTCAGTTCTGGTCCTGTTCAGGAACTTAGATGGAGTGGTCACAGAACCAATCCAATGAGCAGAGATAATCCAGAACCAGAACCAGAACCACTACTGATGGCTCTTTGTCCCTGGTTTCCCATGGTAGGAGATGGAGGGGCCGTGAATTGCGACCCCTCTGCCCCCTCCAGTGGTTCGCTCTGTCTCTCCAGAGGCTGTCGCTCGCCCACACTGAGCCACAGTTAGCAGACAGATTTAATAAACTATTAAAGTATTTTTACATTAGAAAAGAATTCTGCCTTTTGTCTGAAACCTTTGTTGGATTGATAATATCTGATAATATCGGATAACATGTGATATCGGAAAATATCTAATAATATCAGATAACATTTAATAGTGTCCCATAATATTTGATAATAACAGGTAATATCCAATATGGCATAATAGAGATTAATATCTGATAGTATCAGATATTATCCAACAATATCAGACAATATCTAATATGTGATAATACCCAACAGTATCGCATAATAAATGATAACATCACATATTATCTAATGACTGATAATATCAGATAACATCCAATAATATCCAATAATGTGAGATATTACTTGATAACATCAGATAATATCTGACAATATCACATAACATCGGATAATATCTGATATCTAATAATATCAGATAATACATAGGGCCTGTGTTAGAATGACTCTACAAAATGACACTTGGTAAAAAGTTTTGCCCATCCCACATTTGATAGAAAACAAAATCTTGGGATTTAAACAGGAAGTTTTTCCTCTCTGCAGATTTTAGATTTAAGGAATTCCTCCCAGAGAGGAAGAGGAAGAAGACTGCTTGCAGCTTCAGCCTCAGCAGCGCCTCCTAGAGGCAGAGGAGGAACAAATAAATAACCAGCTGTTTCAGTGACAAACACCTGGACCATGTTGGCCTCTCAGAGGGTGTGTGTGTGAGACAGAATCAATAAATCGACAGACTTGTTCACTGCAGGTCACTACACACACACACACACACACACACACACACACACACACACACACACACACACACACACACACACACACACACACACACACACAGCAGACCGATGGAGCATGTCTGAAATGCCAACAGAGGACTCCCAGCTTATTGTTTTCTGTATGTGCATGTGTGTGTGTGTGTGTGTGTGTGTTTGTGTGTGTGTGTGTGAGAGAGAGAGAGAGAGAGATGAGTTAAAGCACGACCAGACCAACCATTACACTCTTCATAAATCAGCTGACAAACACACCCTGACCTGGACCGCTCCCCACAGCGCGCGCACACACACACACACACACACACACACACACACACACACACACACACACACACACACACACACACACACACACACACACACACACACTCAGACAGCATGACAAGTAGATGCTGTGTTCAGTGACCAGCAGCTCTTCAGGAAATATCAGATTATTTTTCTGTTTGTATTTGAATCTGTGATTAAAACACCAGAGAGATAAAAATGTCACATGACTGATCAGCTGGCCAATCACCAAGTCACGCTCAGTTAGTCCCGCCCCTCAGCAGGGTCACATCCAGATGTAGAGACAGAACCCAACACCTGTCCGCCTGCAGACCCTCTGCTGACAGCTCCAGAACCTGCAGCAGGTCTGGAAGGTTCTGGAAGGTTCTGGAAGGTTCTGGAAGGTTCTGGAAGGTTCTGGAAGGTTTTGATGTCTCTGCCTGCTGCAGAACCTGCAGCAGGTCTGGAAGGTTCTGGAAGGTTTTGATGTCTCTGCCTGCTGCAGAACCTGCAGCAGGTCTGGAAGGTTCTGGAAGGTTCTGATGTCTCTGCCTGCAGGTTTCCAGTTCAGAGTCCTTTGAACTGATTCATGTCCAGTTTTTCAGGAGTTTGAAGCTTCGGTCTCCATATTTCCATGAAAGGATTAAAGTTCCTGAACTCTTTGGTCCCTGATGACGTCACAAAGGGAAACTTCTACAAAGATTTACTTGTTTTTCTATACTCTTTTACTGCTGAAATTTTGCTTACTTAAATTTAAACTGTGGTTCTGAAATCCAAACCCGAGAACCCGAGACGCTCAGCGCCAGCAGCAGAGCCAGGAAGCTAATCACAGTGTTAGCTTCCTGAGCTAACCATAGCTGGACTCCAGATGTTCCAGACCTGCTGCTCTTCCACAGGCAGGAGTTCTGCTCGGACCCGGTTGGACCCGTCTGGACCTGGCAGGTGTCCCAAAACCGGCCGTGGGCGGGGCTTACCTGCGGCTGCTGAGGGATGTTGAAGCTGGGGTCTCGAGGCCCAACGCTGACGAACCGCTGGGCTGGAGATGTGGTGGGGGTGGAGTATGCTGCACAGAAAGCACACACACATACACACAGGTGAGTGAGATAGGTTGTCAATAGGTATTAATTAACAAACTTTAAAAAGTGATGTAACTTTATGTGTTAATACTAAATTGATAATTTCTAAAGTTTCTTCATCAAATTGATCCTGCAGTATTACTAGCAAGATTTCTACAGCGCAATAATAAACTTTACATTTCAAACATGTTATGTTAGATAGTGCAATACGCCTCTCGACCAGTGAGAGGCAGCAGTGCAGCAATGGAATGCAGTCTGCTGAAGATAAGAAGAAGTCTTCATCTTGCGCTTTAAGTTATATATGGGACCAACATATATGGGAGTTCCGTTTTGCCATCAATGGGGCTCAACATGAAAGGACCATTGGAGAGAATGATATCCAAACCTCCTTCACCTCAGCAAACCGAATACAAAGTGTTGGAACGACATAATGAGATGAAGGAAGAAGTCAAAAGGAAAGTTGGGATAAGCCAAACCCGACAACCAAATATTATAATGCCCGGAGGAGAGGTGTACAGTTCCGGTCGGGAGATTTGGTCTGGGTAAGGTCTCATCCTCTTTCCAAGCCATAGATAGTTTTTTTCTCAAGCTAGCGCCAAAGTGGTCAGGACCAGCTATAGAGAGGAAACAGTTAGGCCTAGTAAACTATCAGCTTCAGTGGAAGGACCAGCCCAAAGGAACAGACACAATTAATGTGGTTAACTTGAAGCCCTATTTTGGAGTTCAATCTCCCATGCCTCCGGCTGGGGGGGGGGGGGATTGTAACATAACCACTATGTTTTGTTTTTCTCAGCAAATATAATAAATGTTAAAAATGCCAAGCTGTCTAGTGGAACAGTTGTGGATTTCATTATAAATAAAAACAAGAAAAAAATGTCGAAGTTCCACTGTTAAAAAAACTGATGTTGGGTAAATCATGTTTGGGCCAGGTGTGTGGAAATTAGAGATAAAAAGGGGCGTGTGCGCCGGAAGGCGCGGCGCAATCTGTAAGAAAGACGCTCATGTGTCGATCTGTGCAGCGGGAGTTTTGGCCTTATCCTTAGTGTTTTGTTTAATCCAAAGAAAAGCAACAAAAAGATAAAACATGGATTAAGGTTCGTCCCAGCGCCACAGATCGGGCCCGGAAGCCTGGACCGGAGGGTGCACCGAGGGAACGCCGCCCGGTGCAGAAGGACGACGACAGTCCATGGAGGAAACCACCGGGGGGGAAAAGGGACGCTCCCGGTGAGATCTGGACTTTATTTTCTTTTGGGGTTTTTTGGGTGGTACACAGGAAAAATAGGAGAGTAATTTTTTCGGAGTTAACATTATTTCATCAAAAGAGTCAAATTTATACATTAGAGAGTGAAATCATTTCAGTTGGTCAATAGAATCGGAGTAAAAAATAGAGGAAATTATATCGGAGTAAAACAAGACCACGCCCACTGAAGTTCCTTAAGTTTCGTTTCTTCCGCCATCTTGTCATCCCGCAGTGGAAACGGAGGCGACGGTTAGCTATGTGCCAGGTAAGTCCCCAAACGGGTTTTAGATATATTTTACGTGGGATTTATATATATATATTATATATATATATATATATATATATATATATATATATATATATATATATATAAGACTAAAGGTGTGTAAGGTGCTGCTGTATGGTTGTGGGGGAAGGAGGGATGCAGCGAGGAATTAACATGGTTGGCTAACTAGTTAGCATGTGTACTTCAGCTATCTTAATTTAGCAGTTTACAGCAATGTAAGCAGAAAAACATCAGTGCTGTCCAATGCTTCGTCCATTATTTTATTTTCACAAGTCGAGGCTGTCGCTATTTTTAAGCTGAGAGACTGAGCTGTACTGTCGGAGCTAGCTCTGCTAGCATGTGGAGTCAGTATTCCGCCCAGAAAAAAGCGCGAGAAGGCTATGCTAGTAACTTCTCTTTAAATTACTAGCATAGTATTATTTTAGTGAATCCTAGGGTTGCAGCTCGTAGAGCAACGATAAAATAATAAAAAAAAAAAAAAACAGAATTCAAGTTGTGCTTTATATGCAAATTGTGTAAGTTGTCACGGTTGTCTTTGTTTTGACAACTTTAAAAACATTTGTCATTCACCTACTTTTAGGAGCATTATTACAATGCAGAAGATGGAAGTGGGTATTTGGCTTGGAGACTGAAGTTTGTACAGAGGGAAGCTTCTAATGGACAAAAAAATGTCCCCAGACTGTCACAAACCCAAACAGGTATATGGATTTATATTGTACACATTTCATCCTGCAACCAAACTGCACAATAAGTTCCCAAGCCTTATTTATGAATCCTAACATGGAGTCTCACATATATATGTTTTTTTAGGGGGACCAACAACTGATAAGAGAGACTGTTTGAGAGAAGAAGACTATCTTCTGACAGATCGCTTGTGTTCATAACAGTCTCTTCATCAGCTGTGTGCTTCATCAGTGCAATCACTGATGAGTGCAATCACTGATGAAGCACACAGCTGATGAAGAGACTGTTATGAGGAACATGAAACAGACTTTCAACTCTCGTCAGAAGATGATTCATGACCCAGCAAAGTCATCTAGTATCTTTTTGGACTTCCCAAGATTCCTGGACATAGGAGGATTGGTATGTTTATTTTCACTTCAGTTTAACCAACAAAGTTTAAATAAGAAAACTTAACAAAATGATTTTTAAAACCTTCACTTCATCTATTCTCCAGGTTGAGCAAGATTTTATGTTGATGTTTGGGGAAGCCATCTCTGCAAAGTTCCCTGAGAAGTGGCCCACTGTCTACAAGCATAAAATCCTCAAACAAAGCCGCAGTCTCACACAGTCTGATGACCTTCAGAACCTCCTTTACAATGCTGAAGGCACAACAGAAGTGGAAAATGGTAAGTTGCAATTACTTATAAAGAAAGTGTTTTATGTAACAGAATTTTATTTGAATTGGTTCAATATAAGTGCACCTCCTCCTGCTGTTAGTTAGATTTGGTAAGCTTTCTCTGGAAGTATTAACATGGTTGCAAATAAGAAGTTTTGGTAACATGTTTCTTTAACTTTTTCTTCTAGGATGGGACAGTGACATGTCATCCATTTTGATCCTGGTGTACCTCCTGCCACAGTCACCTCCTGGATACAAGAGACCAGGGAATACTCTCAGTCAGACAAGCCAGTGAACATCTTGTGAAGTTTGTCAAGGTAAGGTTAGAGTAAAGGAAACATTTATGAAATTGGTCTTCAATTTCATTTCAAGTGACATTTAAGATATCCTGAAAAGTAATTTGCCTTATCTATTAGAACCCTGTCTTCTTTGAAACCTAAGACTAATAATGTTTTATTCTGTTTTTGCCACAGACAAGAACCAGCATCAAGGAGCACCTTGAAGGCATCGCAGAGAGCTGTCAACCATACCTGCTTGCAGTGAGGACTCAGAGGAGCGTGATTTGATGAGCTTTTTAAAGCTCACTTTATGTTTGGCACTTCATTTGATCGTGATCTGGTCAATGTGTACAAGAGACGGACCTCATGTTATTTATGTAGAAGAGCTTTACTGTTCCAGAGCTTTTCATTTCGAGGTGTCATACAGTCATGAAGACGCAAATGTTTAAATTGTTCCATGCTGTTTTCTGTGAACAATAAAAAATGGCTGTCCAAATTCTGATTTCTGGTCTATGCATTGTACTCTTACAAACAGCTGTGTGTTATAGCTGTAAAACAATTGCTTCGTCAGTGAAATATTTACATTTGGTACTACTTTAGAATTTAATTAAATGTTTAACTGCACAATATGGAATAAAATGAAATTAGGACTAAAATTTTATACTATATGGAATAAAATGTTATTCTATTTTATGTAAAATTCATTTTTAATTAGATTAAAATTTATCTCTACTTAGAATAGAATGCAATGCTTTTTGGAGTAAATTATATTCTACTTGGAGTTAAAATACGGTAGAGTATTTTTTCTTTTAAACAACTTGGAGTAAATTCTTTTGGCATTGATTAAAATTTTTGCACTAAATTGTGTTGATTTTAATCTGTAATTTCAACTCTTCCATGAGAGTAAATTTTACTCTATTTAGACTGGGACCAAATGTTGTCTTTTTTAGAGTAAAATTTTTTTCAAATTGTGTAAAATTTACTCTGGAAATTTTACTGTGTACCACTCTTCTTTTTTCTCATCTTTTTTGGGGTTCTTTTTTGACGTTTTGGATTTTTCTTGGGGAAGAAGACGGGGATTAATACGGAGCGACGCTTCCAGGTCGTGGTTAGATTTGGATGTATGGGACTCCTTTATGGACAAAAATATAAAAAAGCAACAGGACTTTTGGGATTTTCTATTTTTTAAGTGTGGTTTGTGAATCAGCCTGACAAGGCAAATCAGACTCTTGATATTTTGGGGGGTTTTGATGTTGATTTAGGTTGATTAACTATTCAAATTTTGGGTTTCTGAATAAATTATTTCTGGTGCAAACCTTTAATTTCATACTGAGTGGGTGAACATTTGTTTTTTATCAAACTGATTCTGGTAACACTTTTAACCTTTACCTGGAACAAGATCCCCCTTGTGTGTTTCTTTGTGAGTTCTGCTTTAATCAAGCCAAATATTACAACAGGAAGTAGAAGTAAGTCACCCAACAGAAAAATGATGTATGCTTCTGATTAATTTGAGATTTTCTTTGAGAATTAAACACTGACTATATTTCTATTTCTAGGAAAATTTAGCTTTCAGCAGTCTAAGTTAACACTAGCTTGCTATAACTTAATGTTAGTTAAATGTGTCAACCTCTCACTGGAAGGTTAGATTTAATCTTAAATGTATTTTAAGGGCAGATAGAGCTTTGCCCTCAAATCTAGCAAATTCTAAGCTTCCATATGAGTCAAATTTACCCCCTGTGTGTTTCCTTGAGAAACTTGGCTGATGACATGGTTCTTATGTCCTTTGCTAACTTTAGCCATACGACGACTCGTTTTAGCCGAATGACACTTGGTGGGGGACAAAGACAGCTAATGAAGACTTGCTGCATCTTCATTAGATATTAGCTTTCTAATAGCATGCTAATGAAGATGTAGCAGGTCTTCATTAGCATGCTATTAGAAAGCTAATGAAGACTTGCTGCATCTTCTCTAGATATTAGCTTTCTAATAGCATGCTAATGAAGATGTAGCAGGTCTTCATTAGCATGCTATTAGAAAGCTAATGAAGACTTACTGCATCTTCTTTAGATATTAGCTTTCTAATAGCATGCTAATGAAGATTCAGCAAGTCTTCATTAGCTTTTGACAGAGTAATAAAACTTAATGACATCTAGAACTAGATGTTCCCCTTCACCTCAGGTAAGAGTTAATATTAAAGACACCATCATCAGCGTCTCAGGTCTAACAGCTAATGGACCAGAACCAGCTGACAATCAGAACCAGGATCTTTATGGTCGGACTTGTGTTCTAGTTGCGGCCCGGTGGGCTCGTGTTACTCACTGGGGGAAGAGGGGGCGTTGCTGCCTCCCTCTGTGGATGAGGTGGGGGGGGGCTTGGTGTCGACGGGCAGCGGGACGGGCCGGGCCATCGGAGGGGGAGGTGGGGGGGGCAGCATGGGCGTCGGCAGGAACGGGTTGTGGACCTTCGTCTGGGAGCTGCTGCTGGCCTGAGGAAGAGGAGGGACAGGAGTCAGAGAACGGACCGGAACCAGAACCATGAGAGCGGTGACAGTTTCAGCATCACTGATTTTTCTTGCTAAGTGATTTACCACAAACATTCTTTGATTTGATTTATTATCATAATTCTATTGAATATTTGCAGAACCTGACCAGATCCAGCTGAGCAAACATCGGGACCGGCGCCAGTCTGTTCCCTAAGAGACTGTCCAGAAAACTGGGAACTTTGGGAACAGGAGGTTCTGGTCCAGTCTGACTTCAGCTCTGCTTGTTTCCTACAGGCCTGAACCGAGGTCAAGTGAGCAGAGACGTGTGTGTGTGTGTGTGTGTGTGTGTGTGTGTGTGTGTGTGTGTGTGTGTGTGTGTGTGTGTGCGGGTGTGTGTGTGTGTGCGTGTGTGTGTGTGTGCGTGCGTGTGTGTGTGTGTGTATTGAATGGATGTCTAGACGCAGATATATCAGCTATCAGCCTGAAACCACACACTGTATCATTTTCTGCCAACACACTGACTCGCCTCCACACACAGTGTGTGTGTGTGTGTGTGTGTGTGTGTGTGTGTGTGTGTGTGTGTGTGTGTGTGTGTGTGTGCGCGCTTACGTTGAGGAGGCCCACCTGTCCGGCCTGCTGGGCGGAGTCAGGACACACCAGCTGGACGAACTCCTTGAGCGTCTCCTGTGGGTGGTAGCGGATGGCCGGGTGGGAGAAGTAGGAGGCGGGCTGCTGCAGGATGGGGGAGGAGGAGAAGTGGAGGCCGGAGGGGGGGCGTGGGGGCTGGCTGTGGGCACAGGGGTGACAGGTTAGTGGGAGTGGAGAGGAAGACGGGTCAACATGCAAATCCAACAGACAGACACGGCGGAGCAGATGGACCAATGGGAGTGCAGCATTAAGCCCCGCCCATAGCAACTGTCAGTCAAAACGTTCCTCCATTTATCTGCTTTACACCTCCACCTGCTCCTCCTCTGCTCTAATTAAGACCCCGATTGGTCTAACAAGGCCTGAATGCTCGTTAGTGGCTGTGGCTCGTTAGAGCTGCTGAGCTATGAAACTCAGAGCAGGAGAAGGGGAGGAGCTTAGAGTGATGGGAGAGAGAGGGAGCGATGGACGGACGGAGAGGTAGAGCTGCTGCACTAATTCACTTAAAGTCGTCTGTGATTTATCACTCTGACAATCCACAGTGTGTGTGTTTACAGTAATCACTGAATGGATGGGAGAGCGCGCACACACACACACACACACACACACACACACACACACACACACACACACACAGAGTGGACAGACCACAGTGTGTTTCAGAGATGATTCATCTCTGAAACACATGACGTCCATCTGACCAATCAGATGACTCCTCTCAGAAACCTGATGAACCGGGTCTGAGCCGGGTCGGAACCAGACTGTTTTCTTTCATCTGAATTCTTCCTCAGAGTTGAATTTCTTTCTGTTTTGCTTGTGAAATCTAACCAACATGAAAGAATCCAGAAGAACCCAGCAGCTGAGCTTCAGGAGGTTCTGGTCGGTGTCAGAGATCCCGGCTCCTGTTTCTGATCCAGAAACCTGCAGCAGAACCAGGAACTGGGTCACCATGGTTACAATCAGCTCAGCCTCAATCAGCGCAAAGCTCCAGGTAGCTCCACCTGAACCTCCACCTGAACCTTGTTACCCTGGAGAAAGGAGGAACTGATAAACAGGAAGAAGAAGAAGAAGATTTGACGTTCTGCTGAGAAACTTGAGTAGGAAGATGAGGTTGGATGGTTGGATGTTTCCTGCTTCCACAGGAACTTTAATCAGACTATGAGCTCCTTTCATCAACAACCAATCAAGTCAAAACAGGAGGAGGCTGGAGCTTAACAGTGGGAGGGGCTAACCGGGCACAGTGGGAGGGGCTAACCGGGCACAGTGGGAGGGGCTAACCGGGCACAGTGGGAGGGGCTAACCGGGCACAGTGGGAGGGGCTAACCGGGCACAGTGGGAGGGGCTAACCGGCACAGTGGGAGGGGCTAACAGGGCACAGTGGGAGGGGCTAACCGGGCACAGTGGGAGGGGCTAACCGGGCACAGTGGGAGGGGCTAACCGGGCACAGTGGGAGGGGCTAACAGGGCACAGTGGGAGGGGCTAACCGGGCACAGTGGGAGGGGCTAACCGGGCACAGTGGGAGGGGCTAACCGGGCACAGTGGGAGGGGCTAACCGGGCACAGTGGGAGGGGCTAACAGGGCACAGTGGGAGGGGCTAACCGGGCACAGTGGGAGGGGCTAACCGGGCACAGTGGGAGGGCTAACAGGGCACAGTGGGAGGGGCTAACCGGGCACAGTGGGAGGGGCTAACCGGGCACAGTGGGAGGGGCTAACCGGGCACAGTGGGAGGGGCTAACCGGGCACAGTGGGAGGGGCTAACCGGGCACAGTGGGAGGGGCTAACCGGGCACAGTGGGAGGGGCTAACAGGGCACAGTGGGAGGGGCTAACAGGGCACAGTGGGAGGGGCTAACCGGGCACAGTGGGAGGGGCTAACAGGGCACAGTGGGAGGGGCTAAGTCCAAACCACAACCCAACAGGTGAGGAGGGGGAGTAAAGGGTTGTGGACAGGTTCTGGCCTCACCTGGAGGCCCGGTAATGACGGGCCGGTGATAGAGGGGGGCGGCCGTTCTGGGGCAGGAGGAAGAGGAGGAAGAGGAGCTGCACCTCTCTGAGCGCTTCAGAGAGCAGATGGAGGCCGGCAATCCTGGCAAGAACCATGAGGAAGATGAGGTGCATGGGGGCGTGGTCAACTGTGATGACATCACTGATGACGTCATTAAACTGCCACACAATGCAGGAGGCATGAGACAGCTGGAGGGGGCGGGGCTTGTAGTGACAACAGGAAGTAGGAGTGAGGAAGAGTCCAGAAGGTCTGGTTACCCTGATCATCCATCCATTCATCCATTCATCCATCCATCTATTCATCCATTCATCCATCCATCTATTCATCCATCCATCTATTCATCCTTTCATCCATCCAGTTTGTGTTTCTCATCATTTCTGAACAGAAACTAAAAACAGAAAATTAAACATTTGATTGATTTATAAATCGAGTCATATTTTGTTTTTGTTTTTTTATCGATCAGTGGATCGCTGCAGCGCGGTGCAGCACACAGACACTGTTAGACCTCAGAACCGGGCTGAACCGGCCCAGCTCCACCGGATCTGGGTGTTTTCCACAGGAGAGCCAGGTAAAGGTGACAGGTGTTAAAGGAAACATTCACACCTCAACACACACACTCCTCCAAACACACCGACCAATAAACAGCCACCATGATGTCATCGGCATGCTGACAGGTGAGCACAGGTGGGTGGGGGTCCAGCAGACGACACAGAGACAAACCATCCACATCTATCTGTCCATCATCAGAGGGGAGGAGACGGGGTCACACACACGGAGACGGAGGAAACGCCGTGTTGTCGTCTTTACCTTGTCGAGAGATGAACGAGCTAGTTAGAGAGCCGCGTAGCTTATATCCAGCTTCCACCGCGAGACGCAAACAAACGGGAAGAAGAAGAAGAGAAAGCAGCATGAAAACAGAAGATGGAGGAACCTGGACACCTTCAACATGGCTGACATTATCAACGTGCTTTTATTCTTCTTTCTTCTGTGATGTTTGGAAAGTTTTTATTTCAAAATTATTATTTCACTGTTAATTATATGTAAAAGCGGCCATTTAAATAAATTATAACATAAAAATATGTTGAAAATCCTTTTTATTTTATGCAATAAAATATTAGAATTAAATCTATAAAAACAAATGTTTTTAAATATAATTTGGTAGTTTATTAAAATCTCAAAGAGTGACAGTAGAGGGTCAAACAGGAGACTAACATGTTTCCCGTCTGACCTCTGACCTGCAGAAAGATCAAGATGGCTGCACCTCTCCGAGCCGGGGTAATGACTGCACGCACGCACACACACACTCACACACACACACACTCACACACACACACACACACTCACACACACACTCACACACACACACACACACACACACACACAGCTACACACACACTCACACACTCACACACACACACACACACACACACACACACTCACACACACACACACACACTCACACACACACACACACACACACACACACGTACACACACACGTACACACACACACACACACACACACACAGCTACAAGCCCCGCCCCCAGCAGCACCGCTGGCCCTGCAGCAGCTTCAGGTTGCGGCTGATGATGATGATGATGATGATGTTAGTGGGTTAGATGGCTTGTTATTGAAGCAACTGGGGTTGCCGTGGCAACAACATACCTGGCTCCACGTCATGCCAGCTGCCGGCCTGGCCGCCGTTGCCCGGAGACCGACCCGGACCCGGGTAATAGGACTCCTCGCCCGGACTGTCAACGTCCTCCTCCATGCACTTTATTCTCTTGGCAGAGCTGCACACAGAGCAACCGGCAGCACAACCGACAAACCCGTCACCAACAGAATCAACAACAGAACCAGCAGACCCATTGCTGCACCTGTTGCACATTAACATCCATCTGCACCAGAACCTTTCTGTTCCTGGGTCAGAACTCCCTGGATCTGACCTTGACTGAAGGCCAAAACAGCCTTTACTATCTGTTTCTCTCAGGTTAGTGCACTGCCGTGCTGCACAAGGCAGTGCACTAACATTAGCACTAGCATCATCATTTCACTGCCTCCCACTAGTGCACCGCCTAGAGCAATGATTCCCAAAGATTTTCTTCTGGGCCCCCCTATGGATTACAATAAGCCCTCACATAAGAAAACAACATCAATTGGCACACAATTCATTCAACCATAAACCTTTACACACATTTTATTTTCAAACTCCACTTAAGTTTATTTCACACTTCTGGTTACAATAATAAAAAAACAAACTACAAACCATCTTTACAGTGAAACACTTTTTTGTAACTGTTTTTATTTTTACATCCATGCCGCTTCCTGTACCTGTCCCTGCAACGGCATTGCACCCCCCCATGGGGCACGCCCCACACTTTGGGAACCACTGGCCTAGAACAAGGCAGTGCATTAGCATTAGCCTTTTCCCTAAAAAGAGCTTTTATCCATTTTGTTATTTATTAGCCATGGTTAGTATTCAGACTGAAAGAAGTAAATATAAGACAACATGCTAGTGATGCTCCACATGCTTTGAGTACTTTGAAGCCTATTTTAGCATTGATCAGATTTATATCATCAATCGGCTGGGTTCCAACCAATGGACACACTTTGGGAGGCCCCTTTTAAACTTATTCAGAAATTTTCTAGTTATTATTATTGTTGTTGTTATTACCAAATTATTATGCAAATTGGATTTAAGTGTCATAAAGATACATTTTCATGTTGTGCTATTAAATGTATAGATGGTTTTGTGCTTGATCACTTTAGCTCAATCAAAGTAAATCTACTTCAGAAGGATGTTCCACATTATTCAGCAGGCCGCAGGATTCTGGTACTGTGAAGAGATTTGTGGCTGATTGAGAACAAAGATGGTTTACGGATAAAGACTAAAGAGAAAAGTTTCTGTTTGATTCCTGGAATCGAGATCAGCTGCTGAAATGACCTTAAAGCAGCAAACAGTTAATAGAGCTGCTGGAGACTCAAGGTGGAGGATCCACAGGGGCCCCCAACCTGCAACTGGGCCCCCAATCTGCTACTGGGCCCCAACCTGCTACTGGGCCCCCAACCTGCTACTGGGCCCCAACCTGCTACTGGGCCCCAACCTGCTACTGGGCCCCAACCTGCTACTGGGCCCCCAACCTGCAACTGGGCCCCCAATCTGCTACTGGGCCCCAACCTGCTACTGGCCCCCAACCTGCTACTGGGCCCCAACCTGCTACTGGGCCCCAACCTGCTACTTGGCCCCAACCTGCTACTGGGCCCCCAACCTGCTACTGAACCCCCAACCTGCTACTGGGCCCCAACCTGCTACTGGGCCCCCAACCTGCAACTGGGCCCCAACCTGCTACTTGGCCCCAACCTGCTACTGGGCCCCAACCTGCTACTTGGCCCCAACCTGCAACTGGGCCCCCAATCTGCTACTGGGCCCCAACCTGCTACTGGGCCCCAACCTGCTACTGGCCCCCAACCTGCTACTGGGCCCCCAATCTGCTACTTGGCCCCAACCTGCTACTGGGCCCCCAACCTGCTACTGGGCCCCAACCTGCTACTGGGCCCCAACCTGCTACTGGGCCCCAACCTGCTACTGGGCCCCCAACCTGCTACTGGGCCCTAACCCACTATTGGGCTCCAACCAGATCACAAGCAGAAACGGTGGCACTGGGCCCAGCCAGACATAAAGATTCATGTCCGGCTGGGCATCTGAGAAAATATCACTTGCATAATCATTTGGAAAACTGTGTAAAACAAACAAGAAAAGAAGGCATTTCAGTACTGAAATTGTTCTACAGCTCAAAATAACTGCCGCTTCCTACTGCCATTAATGCAGCTCAAACCCCCGCGCGCGTCCCGATCCCATGAGTCGGCATTTAAGAACTACAGTGATGGAGGAACTCTGACTTACTACAGAGGCCTGAGCATTTAGAAATATCGGAATAGCATCTTGACAGAGCACTTAATACATACAAGATGGCAGAAGAACAAAGGAAATAAGTACCAAATGTCTCATGAAACCTGATACTCTTAACTGACAACCGCAATGGACTGTCAAAATAAGAGCATCACATACCCTACATGATAAAATCCTTCATATTTTTCACAACAGGTAAATGCTGTTTTGGTCATTATATGGCTGGTTTAATCCAACCACAATTACAAATGGGATTATTGTGGCCCTTTAAAATGAAGCTTACTGAAAACTTCAGAATAATAGCCTCAATATTCCTCTCAGGTTGGTGCACCATCTTAGGCAGTGCACTAATATTAGCCTTTACCAAAAAATAAGCATTTAGCTATTTCTTCCTCCCAGGTTAGTTCCCTGCCTTGCACAATATTCCTCCACTAGAGTGAGAAATGGAGTGGATTTCTGACCCATTGGGGCTGAAATTGTTTCTAACTCACCCTAATAACCACAAATATCACCCTATTGGTCTGGAAGTCGGTCATGACATCGCACCGAGTGTTGGCTTCCATAAAATCTTTTCGAAATTTCTCTAGGGCTTGTGGTTTTCTGTCAAGGTGCTTCAGCGCGAACTGGTGTCAGAGAGTAAACCCAGGCTCCCAGAAATTAATTTTCAAAATTTTGTCAAAACTTTCAGAGCTCAGAGCACACCATCTCTCTCTCATCCGTACTATTTCTGTAAGTTGATACAGATATGAATTAAAGTACCATTGGAGATGAGAAATAGCCCAACCATTGTTAACATGGGATTAGTGTGGCCCTTTCACACGAAGATTC